AAATTCAGTTTTATTTGTAATGTATCCTCAAATGATATTGAAAAGCTAATGGTATAGAAAGACACTGCACTATCCGATTCGTTTCATGGTTTTATTTGAACTCAAAATCAAACTGTACAAGTTGCGTTGCGTAAGTACAAGATAACATAACTGTTATGATAAAGTGGAGAGTCAGGGCTCAGTTCCGAGAGATGGCGTTACTGTGTACTACTGAATATGAAGAAATGATGTGAATGTGTGTTTAAATGTTTTTGTTATGGCAATTTGAAAGAGATTGAACATTATGGCGAAGAATGTTTATCTTTTCCAAGTACCTACACTGATGTTTTTCTACTGCATCTCACTGTAGTTGCCACATATTTACTCCATTTTTACCTCGAGTGCGTGTTCGAAGGTTGTAGTGAGTCCCAGCAGTGACAGATTGTGAAGAAATTGGGGCATCAGGTGTAGGTTAATTAGTATTGGGAATGGGAGAAACGGGAGTAGGATCAGAGGAGGAGGTAAGTGGGTTCAAAACAAGGATGGGGGGTGGAGAACGTAAGGAGGATGAAAGGGATGGATTTTTGACAGGAGACTGCGTAGGGCTGTAGTTGAGGATGTGTTGTGCAAGCTTGTGGCCGACTGTATGTTTTCCAGCAAGGTTCATGTGGAGACCATGCCGGGGGAAATGTTTTGCTGAGAGGAAATAAATTTTAAAAAGTGTGACATTTGTTTTCTCTCGGTTGCAGTTTTAATTGTTGGTTTGCGTGCATTATCTCGCAGCAAAGTGTTGGTCTGTTGTACCAGAAGGGCAGAGCCGAGAATACAATGTTAGTATTTTGGGCGGCACGTTGTAATTTGTTTACCTGTTGTCCAGGTGTACAGTTACCGCCCAAATTAATGTCATTCTGCCGTCCTATGATAATGATTGTGTCCTGATTAGTCAGTGTCTCTGTGTGAGTGTTCAACTCTGCAGTCACGTCTGGAAACCTCCCGTTAGGTTTAAAAATGGGTGAGACTAAGTAGTTGGAGGATTGCTTCCTAGAATGGAGGAAAGATGGCGGCAATGGCTATCAGATAAAATAAGTACTTGTTTTTTAGGCTCAGTAGGAATGTCTTTGTTTTCATGTGGGCTAGGCAGCGCAGCTTTACTTGTTTTTGGTTTTGGTTAGCCTGTTTCCGTTGGTTTATGCATGTATTTGTCGATGGCAGAGAAGGGTTTTGTGGATCAGGAAGGCGAGGAAAATCTGTTTCATAAGCTAAAACACTAAATTTGTTTTGAGTTGTGTCTGGATATGGTGTCTGTATGTTTTGTGCAGTCACGGGTGCATGATTCTTTAATTGATGTCGTGCACATTCTTGCAGAAATGATAGTAGTTTCACGCAATTTTTAATAACAAAATGAACACTATTCCAACCAACAAGAAATTTTCAAAAATTGTGCTAATATCTTTTACAGGGCGACAATATCAGCAACAGCGCAACAGTATCATCAAACTACCTTCTTTTGTTTTTCAAATGCTACTCCCTCCAATACTTGAAGTCTCAAATCGTTAGGACGGGTTCTTGCCAGTCTCTCACCAAAAAGAGCAAATTATTTTGAAAATACGACGTATTTCTTTTCAAGCACATACAATATTTAAGTAATGAATGTGGTAAATTATCTATTATGAATCACTATGGATAATGCGTTAAACAGTTCGGTGTATATGTTTTTTGTTAATGATTATTTCTTCAAGGCAGATATTAAAATACATTTTCTATGATTTTTAGGCAATTAATTGCTAACAGTAATAATAAGCATAATTTAAATAATTAAGAAATAGCATCTCTTTTGGCAACACCGACCTCTACTATTCGTTTGCTAACATTATTCTAACAACTAGTATACGTATGTTTGATATAAAAGCATCAGTAAGTAATATAATTTTTACAAATATATAATTTTGTATTATGTACATTTCGAAAATTAAAGGTAAGATGAAGACACATTATTAACGACTAAGGGTCTTCTGTCATCACTTCGGCCTAAGACCTGAAGGCCTCCTTGATTAATTGACGAGTGATTCTACGGGGGCCCTGAGCGCTTAAGTGTGCTGCCGGAGGCCGTATTGCTGAACACGCAACTCGCTTGATTTGATTGATTGATTAGTAGTTTCGGGCGCGCCAAATACTAAGGTCATTACTCTCGTAAATGTAGTGCTTTCTTTATCGAGGGAGGTGGTTGCGTTCTTACCCTGCTGGATGGCGAGATCCGGCGCGGACCTATCCATCGTTTTGTGGGGTTCTCCTCAACAAGGTATCTCCCACCAGCAGGGTACCGCGTAGCCGAAACAAGCTCTGAGTTCCCGACTGACATGTGTGGTAGTATGGTATGTGTGGCATGGTTCTGGCATGTGTGGTAGTGTAGTACGGTAACTGTATGTATAAATAATGGGTGCGAATGCGGCAAGGAAAAGGAAGGAAAGTTCGCGCGCGGTTCGTGGCCCGTTTGTTAGGGTACTGCTCTGGCATTCGACTGGTGTTGATCGGAGAGACTACGGAAAACAAGATCAGAGCAGCAATAATTCTCGTCCAGGCGCAGCTGAATTTCACGGGCCCAGGTAGTCTTCTGTCCAGGATATTTTGAGAGTATATACAACAAGACAAGGACATTTTGAACTCTAATAATAAAACAAAAGCAATGTGGAATATAGTACAAAATTCGCCCACATCAACTAGAAACTTTGTAGAGAATGCTGTTTTAAAAGATAATGATTGAAATGTGAACTATTCGGCAACAGTGGCTAGTCTCTTTAACCAATACTTTTCAAGAATTGCCTCCGATCTCAGTAAGGGTCTTCAGCCACAAAATTTAGCATCAGAGTTTCCCCAAAAATTTTAGGCACGATGTTCGTTTCCGAAACTTTTTCCTGACATTCTCAAAATAATCGGTAGACTAAAAAATAAATATTCGGACGGTTTAGATGAATTTCCCAATTGTTTGTTAAAGGTTTGCGCGCCCTCCATTATACACCCGTTAACTCACATATTTAATGTATCTTTATGCATAGGAATTTTTTCAGATATTTTTAAAACAGCTAAGATTAATCCGCTTTTCAAAAAAGGCAACAAAAATGAAATTCAAAATTATCAGCCAATTTCTCTTTTCTGGCTTTTTTCAAAAATATTAGACATACCTTTTTACGCACTAATGGAAACATTTCTTAGTAAACACGGTTCGTTTTCAGATTGCCAACATAGGTTTCGAAAATTAAAATCTACGGAAACAGCCATATTTTATTTTCTTAAAGATGTCGCCTCATCCATGAATCAAAACGAAGCACCTACTGGAATATTTTTAGATCTTTCAAAAGCTTTTGAGGTCATTGATCACAACATTTTACTCTCAAAATTACCTTCTTATGGGATTCGTGGTATTGCTCTACATCGGTTATGTTCGTACCTTAAACAACGATCTCGGAGAGTAGAAATACCTTACTGGAATAATGGAACATTATGTACATACCTTTCTGATTATTTGCCAATTGCATGTGGAGTCCCGCAGGGATCGATTTTAGGCCCTATTCTCTTCCTGCTATACGTAAATGATATGCCCTCGACGATTAGAAACGGAAGAACAGTTCTACTTGCGGATGATGCGAATATTCTTTGCAACAAAGAAACCGTAAATAGTACAATAGCAGGTATTTCAAATTGATTACGTAATAAAAAATTAATGATAAATGAAAAGAAAACTGTTTCAATGTAGTTTCTTCGTTTCAAATAAAAATCTCTGTACTCTATTGATAATGAACTGTATGCCATTGACGATGTTAAAATAACGAACGTTTTAGGTCTTTCAACTCAATCAACCTTTAAATGGAACGTCCGTTTAAATGAATTCAACACTAAATAAAGTTCTTTATGCTACGCTTTCAGAATTCTTTCAAATTCAGTCAGCCTCAACACCGCTCGTTGTGTATATTTTGCGAATGTTCATTCCCGCCTGAGATACGGCATAATATTCTGGGGAAATACATCTTACAAAAACGAATTCGACAAATAATAAGCAAACCCCAGCCATGTGATTCTTGTACGTCTCTCTTTATTCATCTAAGTATTTTACCATTACCTTGTCTCTTCATGTATGAATCAGTGGTTTTGGTCAGAAATGACTTACTTAAGGGCGGAAATATATTTTGAGCAAACGCCGTTGTCTATAACTACAACACTCGACATAATCATAATCATAATCATCTCGAGTAATCATATTAATCAGGTGACAGTATCAACAGCTCACAACAAAAATGCATATATAAGACGTGTACATTATTTTAAAACACCTCGCCATGTGACATTGAACTATTAAATTCGATACAAAAGTTTGTTCCAAATAAAATCTTTTCTGCTGCACAACTGTTTCTACAGAATGAGAGACTATACCGAGCATCCAAAAGGAAAGTAATATTAATTTTAACAATGACCCCCATCTCGATCAGGTTTAGGTCCAAATTCCCTGATCCTCGAGCAAATGCTGAGATGGACCCTTGTTTCTGGAGATAAATGTAACTTCAAATTAACTTGTCTCCATAGCATGTCGCACACAGTTTTTAACTGTTTCTGACGTAAATAAATTTAAAAAGGTCTTTGCCATACATATCGCCAAAAACAAGACAGTTCGACCTGGGAACGTTAATTTTAATGAAAACCCTGGAATCGGAGTAGGGGCTAGTGCTGTTCACAAGGGCCTTTGAGAATGACTTTTTTCCAGTATCAAGGATCCACAAATTTGGATGATGTCAACACGGCTAATTCCAGAAAGTAATGTTCTACTTATAGGAACAAAAAGTCTCATTTTCAGTATCGTAGAATCACAAAACGACTTTTTTGTAATTGGCACTTCTCCCACAACATTGCATAACTTTCTCTTTTTACTACGTAAATGTATGAAAGTTCAAACTCTTCAATTTACTAACGGTTAGGAGGTGTACTTCGGGTATAAATGAGAATGAAAAAGTTTCACAAATCACTTCTTTTTTGTAAGTCAACAAAAAGGAAATAAAAAAATTAATTAAATAATGGAGACAATAATTTAACTGTTTTAATCAAAACTGGATTAACTAGAGATGGTATAACAAGCTTTCATATGCCAAAGATATATTTGACCTGACCGTACAGAATATGGTCTGTTACAAACTTAGCCCAGAAACCAAACCTCGTAATGGGAATGTTCCTGAACTCCAGAAATCAATTTCTCAGTAAGAATTATCGCCCTCCCGATTTATCGATTGGCTGGAACCTGTCCGTCTTCATGAATTCGTCAAACTCCAAGAAGGCGTTTTTCATGGGCACTTGGGTGTAGATGCTGTTGAGCAAGTTGGTGATCATGCGGGAGATCTCCTTCGTGAAGGACGGCTTTAGCGACTCAAACACTTCTTTCCACTCGGTGTTCAGGAACTGGTTGGTTGTTTCCACTGCAAACAAAAGAGATGCACTTTCAAATAGAAGTGGAGTTTTTGATGAACAGGTATTACATTATAGATAACAAAATTTTCAGGTTTTTCAATTTAGTCAAACTTTAAATTGAACGTCCATTTAAATGATTTGAGTTTGATTCACAAAAATGAGTTCATTATGTTGTGCGTACAGATTTATTTCAAATTGAATCAGTCTTCATGAGTCTGCTCGTTGTGCATATTTAGCGAATGTTCATTCTCGCCTAAAATGTCATAATACTCTAGGGAAATACATCATATAGCTTCTAGACTTATAGATTACAAAAAATAATTGTACGAATAACAAGCAAATTTCATCTACGTGATTCTTGTAAGCCTCCTTTTATTAATTTACGAATTTTACCATTACTTTGTCTCTTAGTTTACGAATCAGTTATATTTAGATTTAGATTTACATTAATTCAGTCAAAAAACAGTAAAACTGTATGTGACGTAGGGGGCAAAAGATAAACTGCGCACGTTTTCTTGAGTTTCTTCCCGTCATTTTAACTGTAAATAGTTCAAAGATGAGTAAAAGTTTAACATAAATAAATTAAAATAAATTTTAAAAATCGCAAGATTAGCAGCATTTGAAAAATAGTCATTTTCGTTTCTGAGTTACAGAAAAATTATTTGTATTGATACACGAATTGCAAGTATGATTTATCTGCATTGCTAACAAAATAGCAACTCGCCCTTACCTTTACTCTTACAATTACAAGCAAAAGGAGAGATCAACAAAACGTGTGCATAATAAAGCTACATTTACATCCAGAAGCAAAACAAGGGACCATCTCAGCATTTTCTCAATGGATCAAGGAAACTGGACAAAATCGTATGAGTTGTTTATGCCATAATGACTTATTCAAGGGTGGGAATATATTTTCAGTAAGTGCCGATGTCTATAACTATAGCACTCGACGTAGTGATCGTATTCATCTGTTTCCAGACGTGACTATAAAAAATTCACATACAAATCTTATGAATTATTTTACAACTCTTTGCCAGATGACTTTAAACGATTAAAACAGACACAAAAGTTTAAGTCTCAGGCAAAATGATTTCTGCTGCATTACTGTTTCTATACAATTAGAGGCCGTACCTCACAAAAAGGAAATTATTAATTACTATTTGAAATGTATAATTCTAAACAACCTGTTACAAGTATTATACCTCAGTTTCTGGGTCAATGTTCCCCATCTCGATCAGATTTTTTTTCAGTTTCCCTGATCCTTTGTGGAAATGCTGAGATGTCCCCTTGTTTTGCTTCTGAACATATATGTAACTTCATTATCTGAGCACGTCTTCTATAATTCAGTGGGAAATATTATTATTCATTTTATGTTGTAGCGAGAGAAGCATATTCCTTTACAAAATACATGTTGAGGGATAAGAACCCAGTAGCTGATTTACCTTTGAAAATATATATTATTACATCGGAGCGAATATTTGTTAACAATCTTGACAAAAAAATCTCATATCTCTCGGTTTTGAGGATTTAAATTGTATAAGGAATAGGGTAGGGATCTCATAATTAAGAAAACGTGCACAAAATACACTTCTTCCCGTAGTACGTCACACTGTTTACGTACTTTTAACTGTTTTTGACATAAAATACGTATTAATTTATTTACATTAGAAACAGTTAAACATTGTGCGACCTGCTATGGGGAGAAGTTAATTTGAAGTTACATTTATGTCCAGAAGCAAAACAAGGGGCCATCTCAGCATTTGCTCAGGGAAACAGGACGAACACCTGATCGAGATGGGATGATACTTAAAAAAGAACACATGAAATAATGACCGCTAAAGCTCGATTCACGCATCGTGAGTATAGTACGTTCTCAGGATCACTGCGTCGTAAATAACATTTAGATGTACATTTTATTAAACAACGTCTGTTGACTAAATTCACAAAACAGCTCAATTTTGTAATACGAGCTAGCCCATTTTTCTTAATGAAAAGGAAAAGTCTTCACACAAATAATCTAATACTTTATGACCCTTATCAACTCCAGTCTGTCGCATTTCGTGGAATGAACGGTTATATTGAACACGAAATAATTGTTCATTTGAATTTCTACAAAGTAGATAAAGCGTACGATACGATAGTACGAATAGTAACATCTTATTTCGTAAGTACAAATTTTATATCAATATACAACATATTATTACTTTTTACTTTATCGACTAACGAAGTACTTATAAAAATATTAAATGAGGAATATGGAAAATGGAGCTTGAAAATTAATTTCAGAAAGACACAGTACACAACGGTAGGAAGGACAGGAAAAGATTTAGTAATGTAAGATTTAGGAACAGATTTAACTGACCCAGGGAGCAGTGAAGAGGACATCAATCATTGCATTCGGCAAGGAACATCTGCTATTCGGCAATTACATTCAGTTATATGGAAATTATGTGGAATACAAATAGTGCCAATGAAGTGAAAATCAGAATTTACAAAGCAATAATGGAAAGCATATCACTCTATGATAGGTTGTGGGTGATCTCAAAAACAAAGAGAAAAACTTAAAGGCTATGGAAATGGAATTTAGGAGACGCAGAAATAGTGTAACGTTCATGGAAAGAATCAGAAATGAATATATAAAGCAGTAAATGGTTGTCATTTCGGATATAATGGATACAATAGAAGAGATAAGTTTAAATTAGTACGGGCATCTTAGAAGAATGTTGGAGCAAAGATGGCCTTAAATAACTTGGAGGTGGCAGGTGCCATTGCACAGAAAGAGAGATAGACCTAGACGTACAATGATGGTGTGCGACAGATAATGAAAGATCGTCACATTAAAGATGATGATTGGCAAGATAGAAGAAAATGGAAGCTCGTGTGCGAGAGACGCCGCATGGTGTAGTTCCACTCGCAAGAAAAAAAACAAGTACTTCATAAGAAGAGAAAGTTATGTAATCGTGCGCCTGAAAACGGCTATTTAAAAAATCGTTGCGTCTTTTATGCAACACGTTTCTTTAGCACATTTTGGGCATTGAACTTATATACACATTGAGCGTAATCCTTCGATACTTTTTTTTGTCATTTGTCTCGACATATTGCTGTCCGTCAGTGCCTTTTATCTCTTCGGCCAGGAACTCGGTGACGTTAGTAACAGACTCCCAGACGGACATCCATACGGGGTGTCTAATTGCTTAACATCCAAGGAGTGGAGTTGACTTCAAGGAGTGGAGTTACGCAATTCGGCTAATAAATCACATAGCATTCTAATAAAACAAAAATACATTGAACTAACTTGAAAAAAGCAGCGATTCTACAACAACACATACTTTCTTGCAATACTTTCTTTAAAATTCAAAGGTCAAATGTAATTATGCCTACGTCACATGTTTAACCGTTTGCTCTATCCGAGGAAAAAATGTAGAAAAAATTGGGGTCGTTTTTGAGAAAACAATATAAATTTATTTGCTTAAAGCAAAACGGCACGTATTTTCAAAAAAATTGTGCATTACCATATCTAAATTATTTCGTGAAGAGAAAAATCATTATATCATGACAGAATGGAAATTTACAACTAATGATGATCATCAGTAGTCGTATTTTACAATGTTAACATTTCGTAATTTAAAAACAAAACAAAACAAGAGCTCACTGAAAGTGGAGACGTGTGACATTTCACGTAAAATTCACGTAAAATTACGCGAAAACTACCTATATTTTTGAAACATTGTACCTGAACTTAATTAAACATCTGACTTTGAATGACAGATTTCATTATGGAACATTTCAATTTTGTAGTTGTGGAAAGTAGTGAAGAAACGACTGAATGGTATAGGCCCTAGCGTTGAGCACAAACAAGTTTTGCTGTAAGCCAGGTTTTTGGGTATCAGGAGCCTATAAAATATAGATGTTAACTAAACAAATTATTAGACGTTATTGAATATACAGTAATAAGAGTTGTCCCTTTTAGATATTATGACCCCTCATTTTAGTTTTTCTGACGAAAAATTACTTTAAATATCTAATTACACATTACACTATTTTCTTTTGTAATATACATTATACTACGAATAACAATACTTTATCTTATCTGCGTACGTAGTATGTGAGAAAGCAATATTTTTTAATTAAACCTGTTTTACCTGATGATTTCAACACACCAAAGTATCCTTAGCTCTCCGGCATGTTGAAATTCACATTTGCCTCGATACTACCGGCTTTAATTCCGTCACTATGTGAAGAATGCCGTATCGGATTGAGAAAAACGTCAGTGGAGTGCACAGCTAAAGCTGAAGGGTAAGACGATCGCCCCAAATGGCTTACCGAGAGTTTTGTCGCCGTTGAAGAGGTTGTCGAGGTGAACCGTCATGCCGTCCACTTCCACGTCCAGAAGGGCACCGGGCTGGGGCACATAGTAGAACTCGCCATCTTGACGCTTTTCGATTTCTCCATTAAACTGGTACGTCATTTTCAGGTTTTCTGCAAAGAAAATACATTATTTTATCTGAACTTACATACGATGATTATGTCACAATCTTGACTACTTTCTTTGTTGATATAGTGGGTCAGACAAAGATATTTACAAAATACAATTGGAAATATACTGTAGATAAATAATACATGGATTTTGTGCAACACGGATATCGGAAGAGAGTGGCATTTCTGTGTAGATCGCAAGATAACAATAAAATTGACGTAGAAACTAGTACAACAATATCACATACGTTTTCGCAGTTATTCTAACTTTCGACTAACCACTTTCGATAATTCAGAGTTCAAGGAAAATTAGTCATATGACATTCTTTCAATTGTTCTGTCTGCGGAAAGAAATGAAGAAAAAATATGGAGCGGATTTTGAGATGTTTTTGTAATGTGCATTAATTTCAATCTACAATTACGCCAAAACGACCAGTTTTTCAAATAATTGTAAATGTCCCTCAGATTTTTTAGACCAGATTTGCATAAAAAAATCTCTATCTTGAAATTTGTAGTTTTGTAAGTTTTGCAATGTTTGACAATTCAGAGAATTTGCTGAAAATACGATTGACACCAGTTGTTTTAATGTCCTTTGTTTTCTATGAAGAAAAAATAAAGAAGAAATGGAGGCCATCTTTAATACAATAATTGTTTAAAAATGCTTGTATTTGTCAAAATTGCAAAAAATATTGTCATATTTTCGAAAAATACACGATCGTATCTCAAGATTTGCCTTTGAATTACAGATCTTATTAAGAAAAAATATATCTTGAATATTGTTGTAGGAAGACACCGAAAAAAGTTTGAAGTTTTGCAGTTTTCGAAAGTTCGAAAATTTCAACGAAAAATATACTATGTCAATTATTTAGTCGTTCTTTACGCTCTCCGCGATAATTTGTTAAAAATTTGGAACAATTCTCGAGACCATTTTGAAAACGTTGATTCTTCATGCATCCAAAAAAGTCAAAGCAATCAGTTTCAAACATGAGTTCCTTTACATCAACAGAGAAATATCAGTTTTGGGGTGAATCATCTGAACGCTGTAAGCGCTAGCGTTGACCCCGGACGAACAACCTGTGTGACACGTATTGCTGTTAATCGATTTTTCGGTATCAAGGACATACAAATAGGAATATAATATATTCATATACGAGCAAGATTAATCTACTTTTTCGTTACTAGGGCCCGTCAATAAAAGTTTTTCTGTCGATAAATCGCGAATTTCCGTCGCAGTTTTACAATACTTCCTCTGTGCTACGTAAACGTTTAAAGAAGAGACAGTAGAATGTTCTACATAATTCAATAGGTAATATATTTGATTTTAGATCACTTACTGAACTTCATGACTACATTTCCTTGCCCTACAATAGGCAACAGTAAGATTCGTCCAGAGATGTTGTACTTGGCATTCACTGTTACTTCTGGTACTGAAGCCACGTATGTATCAATATGTTTGGGTTTTGAAATGTGCCTGAAAATAAAATATTTAAATTAAACATTTATGAATATATTGAAACATGCAGGCAGTAACGTAACGCCAATAAGGAAGAAGCATGCTCACAAGGAAAAGGATTGTGGAAAAGAGAACAGGGGAACAAACGGTCACTAGCCTCGTCCTTTTAAAGTGAAGAGCTATTCCCGACAAAGACAATAATAACGTGCCAGGATAAAACTGAATCTTAGAAAACAATAAACTTTCCCGTAAGATAAAAAATGTCAAATGCGACGACCATTATCAAAACCAGACCAAACATCTAAATAACAAAGTATCCCTTTTTGAAAATGGACGACAGTAATTTAAACTTTTTGTATTTAAATTACAACTTTGGTGACAAATTTATATGGTAGATTTGTGAACCTTGCGCAGTCAGTTATCTATAGAAAGTACGTACATCATACCGCTACCGGGAGTATCGCTCACCAAAGAATTTGTTAACGGCTTAAACTATAAATTGCAATTTTGTGGTTAGGTTAGGTTCGACTCATGAGATTTTGTGCATTGACTTGGGGGAAGCTTGGAGCTTGTCAGCGGTCTTGAGGGCCTGCTCTAAAGGACGCTGTCGAGAATCTGGTCTGCTGTTCCATGTCATCGAAAGGACTATGGCAAAAAAGACCTGGTCTGTCGAGGTCGTCTCCTAGTTTCACTGTTGTCAAATAGGTTGACTGAGATGACATGAATGATATTATTGGGATGGTTTTGTAATCTTTTGTTTAATAGATATTTTGCGCCGATATTTTTAATTTCTCCTTTAATAATACAAAGAAGCATATAATAAATATATAAAAAGATATAAAGACAGTAGTACGCTCTGAAGAAGGCCACATTACGTTGGCCGAAACGTTAGCCACCATGTCATTGACGCGGCTCACCTCGGATAGCTTAGACAATACAAACTCCGGCCGCGGAAGCCTACGCAACCAAAGATATAAAGACTACTTACGTTACAGTGCTGACAATCATCTTCGGAAGGCCGTATATTTTGACATCTGATGCAACAAGTTGCATTCCCAGCGGCCCCTTTCCGTCGATCACTTCCAGACGGTTCACATAAAGTGGGTCGAAGCTGGGGATGGAGTACTTTTCATCACCTACATCACGAAAGGAGATACAATATATTACTTACACAATTAAACACTCAAATTCAAAATTCTGCTTCTTTTACTCTATCCATAATCAAGCTAAACCATATTCAAGCGTGTCCAATTGAGAATAATTATTTTAAATATTTTTCTAATACGTTTATGTGGTTATATTTACATTTCAAGATGAAAATCCAGTCAAAACGGACATTCTGGCCCAAAGTGGAACAAAAAGCGAACAAGCAATAATTAAATACTATCTATATTGTTATGGGTCATTTAATTGAAATAAAAACAACAAAAGAAGTGAATATTTTTAAATTTACAAAATTATGCTTTTGAATTCAAATTAAATTGCATGTCATATCTCATTCAGTACATTTTAATATTTAAACTTCTATTCTACTAATATTTCAATCATACACGTGCGTGATCTGGGCTGTCCGGGTGACGCTACGTCGAATGATGTGTTGCCGACGTTTCGACCATCCTGTCGTGGTCTTTCTCAGGGATGGTATGCGAAGGAAGACCACGACAGAATGGTCGAAACGTCGGCAACACAGCCTTCGACGCGGCGTCACCCGGACAGCCCAGATCACGCACATGACTCTGGCCGCGGAAGCCTACGACTTCATTCAATCGTACACCTCACCTATGGGTTTAGTGGACCCGACGCCAATGTAAAGTAAGGTGTATCGTAATTTGGGAAACCAATAGACATAGACGGCTCAGTAGTTTCCTATGTATCCATTATCTGGATGTTAAAGCTTGAGTTTTATAATTAGCAGTCGCGGTTACGCAAGATGGCATTTCCTGCCCGGACCCTTTTTACCCCGCCACCTCTGGCGTGACATACATCATTAAGGAGCCGGCCATAAATTACGTAACGCAAATTGAGAGTATTTCGAATACCCTCTCTTCTCTCTGTAACACGCGCTTGAACCCCCCTCTAATAATTAAGTAACGCTTGCGACGTGCCCCCCTCAATTCCAAACACAATTATAATGCGGAAACGAGTTGTATTAATTTAATGTATACATTATATAATACGTTCATTCTTATACATTCAAATATATTATGTTTAACGTGAGAATCGGTTGGTGGTGCGCACTTCCCATGACAAGGTTTGGGCCAATTTTGTAAGAAAGAAGGATGCATAGGCAAGAAAATTTTTGACAAGCCGTGCACAGGCGGATGGTGCATAAGCTCCGAGTTTACTGCGACAATTAATTGGATTCTAGAATATACTATACATCAATTTTGAGTATAGTCTTCGCAATATAAAGGATTCAATATAAATTCTTTAATTTATTATATTTTTAATTTAATTTGTTAATATTGGTGTTTTACTGTGAGACTGAATTAATGGAATTATTTCAGCAAATGTTGGAAGATTTTAAAAATTATTTTTAGCCTCACATAACACAAAACGGATTCCCTACCCCTATGAACCGCAGCGTAACGCTGCCTGAAACCCTCTCCCCTCTCCTTCAGCGTTACGTTATTGATGGATGACCCCTCACGCTTTGATTGGTCTGCACGCTGACCGCGCGTCAACCGTAGGCTATGTAGTTGCTAAAAAGGACTCTAGTGCAAGAGAAGGGAATGTGTGATTGTCCATAGAAGATGTATTCAAATAAGAAACAAAGAAATCATGGGGTGGTAATTGTGAATTTGAAGACCACACGTCGGAAGTAAAATATATAAACATCAAAAGAATAGTTTAGTAACGTATGGTAACATAATATAATTTTTACAACTTTTATCCTACTATCCTACTGTTTATAATATACTTCAGAGAATCAACTTATCGTTTGATTTGGAACAACAAGTAATATTCTTTACTGATAAGAAATTAGTTCTAATGATAATAATGTATAATGTAATGTTAATATTGAACTATGAATCGTTAGAATATGTAACTAGTTAGCAAAGCAATAACGCAAAGTAATCTTCCTGTTACGGAAATGTCTTACCCTTTAGTGCTTTCGGCATGACCTCCTGGGCCCTTTCTAAGGCACATTGGCTGAACTTCCGGTCTGAAATCTTGAGGCTGCAAGGACGAACATATTCGGCTGTAAATAAACGAAAACATATTACACTGAATCTGATTTATGGAGAACATGATTTAGGTGTATTTCTTACGCTTTCGGCAGGCTATTTCATGGCCATTACAGCTTATTTCCCTCGCATGATGTGAGCGTGTGCTTCTTGTGTGCAGAAAAGAGGAGAAGATGGATGATCGATTGATTGTTAGTGATTTCGGGCACGTCAACTACCGATGTCAGTAGTCCTGTAAGTGAAGTGCATGTTTTTGCTCGGGAGGTGACGGTGGCCTTCTCCCCCCCCCCATAACCGGCGCCGATCCATCGTCGGCTAGCGGAGTTTTACCTCAATCAGATGTCTCCCACCAGCGGAGCCCCGCCGCAGTCGTGACAGGGAAAGCTCCTGACTGGTACCTCGGTATGTGTGGAAGTGTAGTACATGTAAGTGTGTGTGTGTGTAGAGGTTGGATAGGACAAGGACAAGAAGGAAAGATCGCGTGTGGTCCGTTTGTTAGTGTATTGCTCCGGCATTTACCTGATGTTGATCGGATAAGCTACAGAAAACTACCAATCAGAGCAGCCGGCCACTAGAATTCTCCTCCAGACAGCGACTGAACTCGATCTAGCTGAGAAGCTAGTGTCAAAAATCCTGTCACCTTCGGGACTCGAAGTCTAGGACCTCTCGGTCAGTGGACTGCAGCGTCATCAGCTGATGGCCTGAGTCATCTCTCCCAGTGAGAAGATGGACGACATTGAGTGAGTAGTGGAGAGACCTCCAAAGTAATGTTGAACCGCTTCAATGCATGGTCCGTAGCCTAGTCTAGCGGAGTCACCGAGACCCCCTTTTTGCTCATTCCTCCGCCGTTATTAGAATAGTAGACGGATTGCTCTTCCCGTCTGCTTTGTAATCTATCGTCCTTTCTTTTTAAGGTAAACGCGCATAATTGGCTGAGTTTCTATAACAGGGCAGACATGAAAAACGCGGAGACCAAGGTCATTCTCACAGTTTACACAGGCACCAAGAGAGGGATATGGATGACGCCGCTTTGTGTTGCCACGGAAATCAATCCTGGCCGTAAGTGTTTATTCGCTTTTTTCCGCAGTGAACTTGGTAAAATGGTTTGCATATTGGATAATTTTGTAAACTCTCTTAGAGAATTACTTAGACCTTCAGCGAGCACATAGAGTGGCATGGGATGAAGCATGAAAACATTCTCGTGATTTTTACGAAAATTCACATAGCTGAACACAAGAGCTCTCCTAGTTTCCTAGTACCGGTCGTTGCACTGTGCCCCACGCGCCCGCTCCTATGTCAGCGTGACCCTGACACTCACGCTTTTGTGCTACCAGGCAGTTCCTATACATGCTCAGTTTTTTTACCAAAATATATACTAAATTACTATTTATGTGAAATCAGTGAAAAAAATACTCATCAGTTTCTAACCGGCAATTGACGATATTTATAATTTCATTCATTTACCTTCGAGGGTCACTATACTCTTATTTCAGAAGTACAAAAAGTAGAGTGGTCGAAAAGTAAACTACATGCACGACAAATCACGCTTTTATTGTGACACTAAGAAGCCGAGCATTTTGTAAGATAGTGCCACCAAATCCGGAGAAGAGACTGGATTTGTAATTGCAAATACTTATTAAGGGTTACCAGGAAGTAACGAATGTTCACTTTTTTCGACTTATGAAAATTTCAGACGTAATTGCGCATGCGTTCTTGAAAAGCAACATGAGAGATTGTGTAAAAATGCTAAACGATTTGGCTTTTTTATGATTTGATGGTAACATTATCTGAACAGGAAATCTATGAACTCAATGAATTCAACATAACGCGTAAAATAGTATTGACGAAACAGAAGATCGAATACACTGCAATTAGATTTCCGTAACTATAAAGAAGGGAGGAAATGAATGACAAAAGTGATAACTTCAGGCTTCGAGGTGAATAACTTTCCCATTGTTTGATATGTGACGAATTGCGAAACACATTAGTTCTACAATTCGTAAGAAGAATAGTGGTAAGTAATCGCGAACGATGCAAGGCACGTTACAAGATCAATTGAATTCTCAACGGTGACAACAGAGTTTGCTGCTCAAGAAACTTTTATTGGATCGCTGGTGAGGTAGATACCTTTTTATTATGATAAATAAATAAAGATATTGTCTGGTATCA